AAGTCATCTCAGCAATCTCCTCGAGCGAATGGACTCCGCGGAACCGCCGACACGCCAAAGCTGCCGACCTCCGTTTGTACTGTTCATCGATCCAATGAACGGTCATACCGAAGAAGCTTCTCTTGGTATCGGACCAGATGTCTGCCGTGGTCGCCACCCACGTCGTTTTCTCTAGAGCTCCGCGCAGGCGATCCACGTTGTCATCGTACGTCAAGTCGATTCTGCGACCCAGAGTACGCCGTATAGTGGATTGTGGGTCTGGGGAGATGATTTCAGTGTAAAGATCGAAGAACACCAGCTTTCGTGGAATTTCCGAAACATTCCGTTTATTCTAGAAAATTCTCCTAAAGGCCTCTCCGTCGGGGAGCTGTGACCATGGCGGGCGCTCTATCCTCTATTGAACTGCAACACGCCGACTCATGAGCTTCAACCCGAATCGATCGAACTTCAGGAAATCAAGAATCTTCTTGAACGACGGCTCTTCAACAATCCGATGTTGTGACACAATTGAGTGCGCGGTCGACAGAGTCCGGGCTGAGGTGCTTGGGCCCGTGCTACCGCATTGAAAGAATGCACTGTTGAGGGCGATTTTGACCGAGAACGACAGTGATGCCACGTGAGAGCTTCCTTCTACAGCGACGATACCCTCCGCGGAATTCATTTTGAGTAACTGCGGAGCTGCCTTATCTTGAGTAGAGCAACTTTGTGTTCATACACTTCCTCGTGTTCGTGTTTGCGCGCTCGACGACTGCTTTGTTGACGGAGCGAGCGCGGCTGAGTGCCGACTGCTCCGGCGAGGTCGGCTGCTGAGAGCGGGAAATCCGAATCTCACTCGGATGGGGGAATCGGGATTCGAATCCAATAATGAGCATTTGAAAACAACGAAGGTCGTAAATTTGTGACGTTCGGGGCGGTCATCCACCGTCAAACCAAGAATGAGTCCGGTTCACGTAAATTTTGGTCTTCGTGGGAACTAGGAACGGAACGGGAGCCTTAGCAAGAGAACGGCGCTCAAGTTTTTCATTCCACATCGCGGCGAGTTCGCTGAGCATGCTTGGATCGGAAAGCGATGCGATGGGAAAGCTCACTGAAATTCCTGCGAGTGCAAACTGCTCAAATGTTCCAGTAGCTCAGTTCTCTGGTGAGCCCTGACCCCGGAATCGAGCTCAACGTGCCCGAAAACCGCCAAGTAGCCCTCCAGCTCGTCTCATACGTATGAATACGGGCGCATTCAAAGAAAAAAAAAGTCCCTGGTTCGGATCATGTCGGCTATGGTTGAAAGCATTTCCCGAAAATGGTGCTGGGTATACGCGCCAGAAGGATGCGATCCTCGTGGCTTTCGATTTGGGATCATTGTTCTTGATGTGCCTCTGTTCCTTTGTGTGTGTTGACGATTCCGAGGTTTCTGGGGGCGTGTGGGGCGATCCCTCGCGCGATCCGGCGTGTGATCGACGAAGGTGACTCTCTCCGGAGCCCTCGATGCTCCACGACCGGTATGCGCGAACCTCGATGCTCGGTCGGGCGTCTTTGCTGTGGTGATTTGCGGTTGAGGTTGCTGAAATATGGAGTTCCCCGAACTTCATTCTTGACCTCCGAGGCATATATCTGAGCCAGCTGCTAAACAGACACAATCAGATACTTTTCTAGTTCAGAGACCTAGTTCTAAAACTCGGTAAATTCCGGATGTAAATCTAGGACGTTCACTGTCTCTTCCTACTGGAGCCTTGACACAAATATCATCCTATATAATCAACGAATAAACGAATGGAGATACTGTCTGCCCTGTGACCACACAGAGGGCATACTCGTTCGTCATTCTGAAGTCTGAATTCTGTCCTCCTCCTGGTATCCCGAATGATCTAGTGAAGCTTCCCCTCACGGAAATTCCTATCAGGGGTCCTCTCAACCGTTGCATCTTTTTGTCAAGGATGTAGCATGCTTTCTTCGAGATGTTTAGGGCGACTTGGCGAGCTCTAGCACCATCTGCCTCTGGATTATGGACTGCGGAAGGAAAGCGAAGGGAGCTTTCTCGCCGTAGACTCTCTTACACAGTTCATCGTTGGCAGCTGTGCATTCTGGGGAAAAGAGTGAACCTGAGAGTACGACCAGTGGGTCTTTGTCATTGACGTTTTCGATTCTGGTTCCGAACTCGAGACGAAACACTTGTGGTCGAATTCCTTCCTCGAATTTTATTTCCTACATTCGTGGAAACCTGCCTGGAGGACGATCAGGGTGGCACCTTGGGCCTTGTCTAGCTCGAGGGTCGCTTCAGCGAGGATGGAGTCGATGTCGCTCTTGCGAGTGACTCTCACCGTGTTTGGCACCTCGCATGGTCTGACTCGGCATCGTCTACGGGATCCCGTCGTTTCCCGCTATGGTGCCGGTCGAGACTTCGTGAGAAGTCATAGGTATGCGTGCCGTGGGCTGCCGGGATGATTCTTCACTCTGCTCCCCGTACTTTCCGATCGTCTTAGGCATGGAGATCACGGCTGTGTCACTGTTTTCACGAGATCAACGTGATCTATGTTGCATATAGGATGCGTAAGTGATAGAGGCACCTGAGATCTTCAGTGAGGAACTCCAGCTGTAGTCGAGTCGTCCGATCTGTTTGGAGGACACCGGGTGATGCACTGAGGCTGGATGCACTGCCTCGCAAGGGTCTACGGCAGGATTCTGTAAGGAAATCGCCTTTCTTCTGTGAGCAAAGGCATTTCCATTACTGTCTTGAGGGTTTTCCAGAAGTCAGTGTTTCTTGAGTTAGGGAATTACACTTGTTTACATGATAATTGTACTTAAATATATAAGCCAGGAAGCCCTGATCTAATTGATACAGAAAAAGACTGAATAGTCTTCTTCCGGAGAACTCCTTCCTTTTTCCACTGTAAGGGTCAACGAAACCCGAACGGTATATGAGCCACATTGAAATAAACATCAGACACAGATTCTTCTGTCACCGCACGATACCCTGCGTCCTCATTCATGGGTTGAGTTCCTCACTACCTGCCTCCGGTATCCTCTGACAAGTGCCGCTCATCAGGAATCATCTGGACCAAACTGCGTTCACCTCCGACTGAGACAAAACTAGACGGCCAATGTTGTGGGGTCCTGATCAAATCCCCAACATTTGTTATCAGCACGAATTTGGTACTCGAAGGTGACGCTCAACGTACTCAACAAATACCGAGGTGAGTGGAGGAATTCCCCACTGGAATGATGGAACAGCGTGGGGCCGCTATCACGCTCACTGTCCACGGAACCAAGACCCAAGAGTTCGAGGTGAACTCGACTCTCGTTCACCGTAAGGTACGGCTCTCCCTCCTCAGTAGGGAGAACATCCCTGCTCTGCAGTACGAGAAAATCGAGTGCAACGGACGCCCTCGTCGGAGCATAGAACTGGGGAAAACCGAAACTCACTCAGCAGATCCAGAATGGCGGAACAACTGTCCACAGCATCGTTCACTCGGATCGCTCGACGTCTACCCCGACAGAGTGAGATCTTTCACTGACAAGACTCTCGACAAAACTCCATTCTGTGACTTAGGCTGACTGAGTGAGGCTCGATGAGGACTGATCTTTGAAGCATAGCATCGACATCGAACTCGATTGCCGTCCTCACTCCTGAGCGACGAGAACGCGAGTTTCTTTTGGGATACACGCTCGGACAGGACCATCGACGACTCACAGTTTCGACCCAACTCGTCAGAGAAGACAATGATCCTCTGAAGACCATGAACGACGGTTCCAGTGACAGACTGCGGGGAGAATGCAGTCTCACCCTCGCATCGACTCATCGAAATGTTGGACATGCAATAAATCAGGACATGCTGCCAGAAAGTGCATGGAGGACGCTGCCCAGAATCAACTCAAGAAATTCTGAGGCGCACGTGACAATGGTCCTTCTCGCGGAAAACCATGGAAGAGCAATAGGACGCTCTGTAAGCGGTGAGGTGCGATTCTCATCTGGCAAGTAACATCACGTGCTCTTGAACGAAACTTATTCACAGAAGTGAGACTCATGTCGTAATCGCGCGAAGACAGGCTTGATGGTTAAGAACGCCCGTCGGCACTCGGGTTCACTGGAGTCATGCTGTCTATACGACTAGAGCGGAACCGTGAATAGCCAGAATAACAAAGAAACGAGTCGAGGTTCGCGAACGTGAAGAAAACTAGACTCTCATCGGGAACACCGTTGCGTGAGGCAACTCAACAACACGCAGCTCTTAGCTCGGAGCTGACTGGAGGCGGGAGCTCATCGACTGCGATCAAGCCGGTCATCCAAGTTAGTCCTGAACTTGGTCATAATGGAGCTGAGCGAGATAGTTCTTACCCCGACGCATGGAAACGCGCGACTGCTCACTTCAATCGGACTTTTCTCGAAAACGATTCGGTCAGGCTTGTAATGTCTGTGGCAGAATCTGCTTCTCGCGAGATTTGAAAGGCATCACGATTCCGATAGCGGACTACCTGGCCGATTTCTTCC